CGAGCGAGCGAAGCGAGCGAGGATCCGGCTATATAACTGCCTTTGCGTAGAACGCCGATAGGCGTTCGAGCTGCGGGTCTATGCGGCAGAGCCCATCGTTAACTAGAGCGATTTAGTCGAGCTCGCGCAGCGAGCGAGACCTTAGTTATTTAACAGCCTTTGCGTAGGAGGCCGTTAGGCCTCCGAGCTGCGGGTCTATGCGGCAGAGCCCATCGTTAACTAGAGCGATTTAGTCGAGCTCGCGCAGCGAGCGAGACCTTAGTTATTTAACAGCCTTTGCGTAGGAGGCCGTTAGGCCTCCGAGCTGCGGGTCTATGCGGCAGAGCCCATCGTTAACTAGAGCAATTTAGTCGAGCTCGCGCAGCGAGCGAGATCTGGTTGTTAAAAAAATTGATATACGGGGTGTGATTAATTTCCAAACGAAAATTCAATTGCACCGAGCTCGCGAAGCGAACGAGGATCCATCTAGCAAACTGTCTTGCGGCGAAGCCGCCACCATAAGGAAGGGGGGTTGAAAGGGGGTATTCAATACACTTATTGTACAGGGTGGTCCTCTAAGAACGGCTCTCGGCCATATCTCGCAGACTAATTGTCGTAGAGACTTGCGGTAAAAAATCTTATAACTAAATCGGCCAAAAGAAAATGCTGGAAATAATTTTTAAGTCTATAAAATGGCCGCTAGGGGGAGTATCCGCCATCTTGATTTTTAAAAGTCATTTTTTTCAAAATTTTCTTAAATAAAGGTATCAAAAATGTGTTTTATTTTGATAGTTAAGATATTTTCGATTATTTTTTGTTATATATTTTTGACTCTATCTTTTAAAATAAAGTGGTGGGGGTGGTTTGAATATTTTGACTAATAAATGTTAATAACTTTTAAACGGCTGAACCGATTTTCAAAAAAATGAAATTGTTGAAAAGGGCTTTCTTTGGTCTATAATTTACACTATATAAGATATTATTTTAATTGCTTGCTTGGCCGCAAGATGGCGTTTTTCGACATTACTTCAAAAAACACCGATTTTCTCAAAAAATTTAAATGCAACGATATAACTTTTTCTTTGGAAAAAAATAGTCAAATAATTGCCAAACCAGCCTGTGAAAACCGCATCTCGTTATTCCCTTCCTAACCCAAAATATATCTAAAAAAAGAAAAAAATCAAGAAAATGGGCAATTTTTGCTGCACTACCAATATAAAAACCTCTATTTAGCGTTGTTCCATCCACAAAAATAATCAATTTGTTAATAATCTTCAAGTATGATATTTAGAAACACCAAGCTAAGTAATATGCATTCAATAATTATTGGATTTCCGTTCTATATGCACTAGTTGAGAACAATATGAAATCGAATATGAAATAAAAATATATCATTGCCTTTAAAAAAAGGTATGTTTGGTATGGCATCGATTTATGGGCCACCCTGTATATTTCGAAATAATTTTAAATTGTGCGCCTAAAGGTGCTTAACATTTTTCCTATTTATCATTTTTTCGTATCTATTATAATAACTTAGTAAATGGGTTTTACCACACTATTGGGACACCCTGTATATAGAGAATTTTTGGTGTCTTATAAATAGAACAATATGTTAAAAAATACTGTAACCTAGCAGACCCGGGTACCCAGTAAAATTATCAATTCCGAAAACACATTAACGGATAGAAAATATTTTGTGTAAAAGATCCCAAATGTGGCGCGCATCACACTAGATAAGTACAAGTGTTGATAACAAGTTACCACATGGCCGTGAGAACCAGGGTAAAATCCGCGATACGTCACGGATTTTTCGTGTATAAAAAGGGTGATCCCGAGACGACCAGCGTTCAGTTTTCAAACCAAGTTTCTGCCAACAACAATACGACGCCAACTCCGACGCTATCCTCAGTTGCCTACCAGAAGCTCCGAAGACGCTGTCGACCCGCGACGCCCCGACGTCCCTAGGAGCCCCGACGCCCCGGGAAGGGGGCGTCAGGGGACGACCGTGGGTCTTCCGACTTCCCGTGGCCACCTCGACGAAGCGAGTCCGTGAAACCATCCCAGCCCTGACGCCCCGTAGACGAACCGACGACCCATTACTGGGTTACATTACCCATTACTAAATAAACCCTAATTACTGCACACCCCGTTTATTTGAAATCATGAACGAATCAGAGTAAACCAGAGTAAAACATACCCGATGACATTAGCTTGCCTGTGCTCTGTTTATCACCAGGTTAGTCGAGCCGAACCTGGGGAAGAGCGACGTAGTTGCGGGACCGTGTCTGAGTGGACGGTCCGAGCTATAGCCTGTCGAATGACATATACCATCATAATTAAACATTTGGCTTCTTTGGTCGAGTTTACAAGTATATTTAACTTTACCCGCAAATTATGGTTGATATACTACCGAGTTGGATGTCCACATGGGCGTTACTAACTAATATCTTAACCTCTCTCGAGTGATCCGGACACTTAAATATAAAAAGATGTTATGTGTTGACCCAAATGGGACACCTCTGGCCAGTTTACCGGACACTCTGTATAATACAAATAAAAAGATGTTATGTGCCATAACCAGAACATAAGGGATCCTCGCATCCTAGTACGGCGGCACCTCTGGCCAATCCCGTGTAATACGGCTATGGGAAATTCAACCCGGAGAATATCAACCAGGTTAATAGAAAAGTAAATAAATTACTTACAGGTGTTGGTTTGGTCTGCCCGTTCGGACGGGGTTCCGTAAGGACCCGCTCTGAACCGGTTAGGTTTAAGTAATATTTGTAATTGTACATAGATTGGTAAAATAAATATATTTTAAGGTTTACTTCGTTTTATTCTAACTAATCTAGCGTCAGCTCTATATCCCGGATATAAAATAATTAGACGATCACGAAGGTAAATATAAAACATACCCGGTTCCTGGTATGTAGTAGGTCACAACACAAAGAACATATATTAAAAAATTCGCACGGATTTAACAATTACTTTCTTAAATTTCTTAAATCTTAAGGTTATCAAACCTGACTATCGACTATCAACGTCTATCGTTAAATTTCCAAATCGGTCCTGGAGATTTCCAGCTGCAATGATAATTACTTCAAACTAAGGAAGGTAGTATACAGCAAAGGTATTGCTGATGATGAGATCTTGATTCGATATCTCGAAGATAGATTAATTTATCATCATTCAATGATCGATCAGTTAATCAATCTGTTGATCAATCAGTTCATCAATCTGTTAATCTATCTGTTAATCTGTGAGCGTATTCCACTGGAAAAATGAAAACGCAATGTCTTAATCCCAAATGTAACGATAAAATTAGTCTGGGATATTTGTGCGAATTAAATTTACAAATATTTTCGATTTAAGATATTTTAAAGAACAAAATAATATTTAAAATCTTAATACTTGAATGTGAATTAAACTTAAATTATTAAATTACAAAATGGCGTCTCCGTACCGTTAAAATATGTGAATTTAAATTTAAAATTATTGATTCTAATTAACATTACGCACATACCCATATAGGTTTAAATGAACAAAATTATCAATAAGAAAATTATTAAAATTACTTACATGAATGTATAACACAGATCGACTAATTCGAGATGCCAATTTGGCGGATTTCAATCAAGTAGTAATTAATATTCGTTACTAGAAAAATGAAAATGATGGTCCGAAAAATGAATTGCGCAGAACGAATTATCGAGTACAGTGGTGCCTCTTTATAATATTAGTAGATATACAAATACAATATATGGCACTAAAAGTATTATAATTAAAATAATTTGTAGAAAATATATTAAATTTGGTTAAAACATGTTAAGCATGTTTCAAGGGTTACAGCTATGAGGTTGAATAAAACATAATTTTATTGGCAACAAATACGTCCAATGCAATCAATTAGAAATGCTACAGAAAAATATTTTTACAGTTTTACGTAATATTTAATTATTATTATTATTATTATTATTATTTCATTATAACACATTAACAGCCTAGAATTTTAATCCATATGAATCAAGTAAATTATAATATTAAATTACGTGACACGCCCTGTATGTATAGATTAATACGCTATACCAATTATCATGATTCAGTTGTCTTGAAGTAAAGTAGTTGCTAAAATATTTGTGTTTGTTCGATGTAATTGTTTTTAATATTTGTCTAATTTAAAATTAAATCTGTTAACAATAGTAAAAATTTGTAAAAAAATATAATGGAATAATTAGAAAACGCATCTTAATAGAAAGCAAAAATACATAAAGATATGAAATTGTTCTGTTTCTATGTGCAACATTTAATGCAGCCATTTAACTGTAAGTAGATATTCATTCCCTTCTTATATTTTTTTCGTTAATTATTTCCCGAGCATATTTATGAAGGAACTTTCAATGAGAAGGAAGACAATTTAAAAAGCAAACAGAACTTTCGTTGTTCTTCCTTCTCCGCTTACAATTTTTATTTATTAGAAATAACTCACGTAAAGCACTGATTTAAATCGAAGTCAATAGGTTTTTGTTCTTAGTGTACGTTCAGAAATTTTTGGAAACAAGTTTTTCCCTGTAACTTTAAGAAATCATAAATAGCAAAGGATAAATAAAGGAATATTTTTTATGAAGTTTGTCTGCACTTTATTTAAATCTCTACATTCACTTTGTGTTTTAATGTAAATGAAAATTTAAGAATTTTTCTAATACGAGTATTTATTTTATACAATGCAATAAAACATTTTAGGAGTACCTAGGTACCTACATCATATGGACCATTTCAGTTTGCAATATGGTCATTTCTACGAGTTGAATAAAGAAAGATTATTAAAATAACATTTGTTAGAGTGAAAAGTTGCAATGAGACAATATCACTCTTTCTTTTTCTTTTATAAGGGTCTAATAGATTTTGTCTTTATCGCACCCAGAGCCTATATTGCAAACTAAAATGAATCAATCTGTATCTAATATTATACACACCCAATACCCAATATTATAAAATAATCGTTAACAATGAATAATAGCTGGTTACTTTTCCAAAGGTTCCAAATTCAACCAAAAATTGCCTTTAACAGTAATGACCGTAATTAAGTCATACTCTATTGGTAACTTGGTTTTTTCATTTAGTGTAACATTAAAATTTGACACTACTGTACACAAACCAAGTTTGGCTTGAAGTTTCCCAAATCTCTGACCTGAAAATTAAATTAATCAAAATTATGCAATGCTAGATGAAAATTGTAACTTATAATAATTATTATTTGCTTATTTTTTTAAGTGCTTACCTATGCAATTTCGTGGTCCATCTCCAAACGGAAAGTAAGTCATGGAAGGTCTACAGGCTTTCGCTTCCTTGCTGAACCTTTCCGGATCGAATTTTTCTGGATTCGGGTAATACTCGGGATCGTTATGAATAGCAAGTACCGGAACTAGTACTTGCGTTTGCGATTTGATTACCAAATCGCTGTTTGGAATATTAAAATCCTTGTTACACAAACGCGCTAACCGATGAATTGGCGGATGCATTCTTAATGTTTCTAAAAATATAGCACTGCTTTAATAGTTTTTTTTTGTTGAGAAACAATGACGGAATTATATGTAGAATTGATGCCTTATATTGTAAGTTAATTACGTTTATACATAAAAATTAAAAAGTAGCTAGGTTAGAAAAAGACCTGTAAGGCGGGAGTTAGTCATTCTTTGTTTTTGTTGTTTAAGTCAATGTGTTCCAGTTACTTTCAATTAGTTTGTTCATATTAAAAACGATTGTAAAAGGTCACAGTTTGTCGTTAAAAATAGAACCATAATGGTATTGTTGTAGTTACACCCGTAAGAGTACGCAACTCCTTCTGCGCACGTACGCAATCTAGTGGTCTTGAACGATTTCGTTCGCGGCCTTGCCAAGTATTTATTTTATTTTATTTAAGGGAGATAATTGGCGCGTAATTTTAACATTTATTATTTTCATACTATTGTGACTTACCGGAAATTACCTTTTCTAAATACTCCATTCCCAAAAGCGATTCGTAGGTTAATTTGTTGTCGTTTTGTTTAAGAGTTTGTTTGATTTCTTGTCTTAATTTCTCTTGAACAACCGGATTTTGTGCCAATTCTAACAAAGCAAATGTCATTGTAGTCGCAGATGTTTCAAAGCCAGCAACGAAAAATACGAAAGCCTGTGCTGCCAACTCATTCATCGTTATACCACCCGTAACATTTTCATTGTCTCCCTTTAAAGCTGCTTCTTCATCTCCCAACACTCTACCCGTATTTTTTAATTGAATCAGAAGATGCAAAGCATCCTTGCGAAAAACGTTGTTCTTTTCTCTGTAGTCAACAGTTTTTCGAATCATGTCTACGAAGTACGTTTCGATTTCTTTTTTCCTTGATGAAAAACCCACTTCATTTACGATGTTTATGAACCTTGTAGGAAACGTATTCTCGAGGAAAATACTGAACCTCTTGCGCCAACTGTTTTCGAAAGTATAATCACCATACTTTCTCAATTTGATATTGGCATCCTTCATGCTGTTAAATTCTAGTCCGAAAGCTACTGATCCTATAACGTCAGTTGTGAATCTGCACAGAATATCTTTAATATCCACAGCAACGCTACGCTCTTTTAACATTTATTCAAGTCCTGTTGTACATTCCAACACCCTTTCGAACATCATCTTCATTTTACCTAAATAAAATTTTGTCGTTCAAGTTTTAAATTTCCCTTTAAGTTTTTTTTATATTAAATTTATACCTGTTGTAAACGCCGGGGTTAATTTTGTCCTAAGATTAACCGCGGTTAACAAAGTGGTCAAAATCGGTAAACAGAATACTTCTGATTAATTCTCTGTCCAATGGTACGAATTGCGGTGTAACGAACATGTATACACCGGCATACCTTTCACCTTTGGCTTTTGCTGCTTTGTAAGCATTCACAATTGCATCTACTAGCGTGATATATTTCCCTTTTGGAGTTCTTAAATTACCAAAGAAAAACGTAGGTTCTAAAGTGACTACGTTTCTACTCCTCCAATAATTATATCTCCACTTTACAAAAAAGTAAAAAGCTACAGCAAGAGTCATTAATGCGTAAATTAATAAAAGTAACTCCATTTTTATATGTTTGGGTATCTGTAAAACAACAAAAAGTGACACGTGAACTGGAAAATAATGTTAATTGTTAAGAAATCAACGGTTTTAATTTAAAATTATTCTAATCAATGATGTAGTTATTCAGTTTTTTCGTCAAGTAGGTATTATTACAAGGTTGCTTGATTTTTGAAAAAAATATCAGAAAATGACAATTTTAAAATTCTCTATTTCATTTTTAATAAAAATGTATAATTAAAAAAATATAAAAAAGTATAATAAAAAAAGTTTATAAAAAGTATAAAAAATGTATAATAAAAATTAATAAAAATGATGAATATTTATTAAAATTAATTTATTCGAAAATAATAATCATTAAAAATATTCATATTCATATTCATATTCATCATAAAATATTAAAAATATATTCTAAAATAAAATTATTTTTCGAAATTACCTAATAAAATAAAATTTCTTACCTGATGCACGATTGGAACAAACAACGTCCTAACAATTAGCTGCAACACATTTAAATAGTCTATAGATTTATAGGTCTATTTAAATATGTAATCCATCTCTTTGTAAAAATATTTAGAAATGATATACAGGGTGTTGTTTTGGGCTTGGTATATTTCAACAACTTTTTGAATTCGAAAGTGAATTTTATTTTTTAATAGGCCGATAAATTGTCTTATGTCCGTTTTCACCAACTACAAATAAGACTTTATTCGATGAATAAATTTAACTGTTCAATAAAAATACACAATTTTGTTTCACCAACACCAACAATTAATAGTTTTATTCGACGATTAAATTGGCGTTTAAATTAACCAACGAAATTTGGACAGTTAAAGTTTTCTTTGATGTTTTCTAACCTCAAATAATAATAATTTGTAATATCTTATGTGTTATTTTGGATTGCGAATTTTTATTTTTATTTATTGGTTGTATTTTCAGTTTGTTTGAGAATAATGGATAATAGGTAAAATAAACTGCTCTATAAAAGTTAAGGAAGTTCGCAAAATTTGCGATTATATTAAAAGTTACAGACTTATTGATCACCAAATTTTCAAATATACGAAATTAAATGTTTTATCTCATGTCTGAGTTGTCCCTTCCTTTACAACTCGTATTAAATTTGCCGATAAAAAATCTGCTTTTTATATTAATCTCAATATTTGTGAACTTCCTTAACTTTTGTGGAGCAGCATATAATACAAATATTATTTACTTTTTAATATATTTCAAAATTATTCATTTATTAGATTTTTGGCATCATCTTCATCTTCAACGTCATCCGATGAAGATCATCATTATACGCCCTCAAATTGTTTTAGAAAGAAGTATCGTTATTAAATTTTCCTTCTCCTCTTCTAAGTAATTTTTGTTTCTTTCTTTGCACGGTCAAATTTTGTTTGTATCAATATTGTATTGCGCATGCCCTGATGTATACAAGTTCGTTATAAGATTGGAACAACTAACTAATATAACCATACTCATTTTCAAAATGTTCTGAAAGTTCTCACTTCAAACGAGAACAGGGGCCGGTTTCATATAACTGACAAGTTGACAAGTTACAAGTCGACAAGTTATAAGTGTTGGTTGACAAGTATTTAAAAATTTCGTTTCATAAAATAAATTTCGACACTTGTCGAATTACATTTATGACATCCGTTTTTCTACCTGTAATATTAATTAAACGTCAGACTTAAGCCAAAAAGAAAAAAATAGTACTTACTATACTGAGGAGCATAAGTATAGCACAACCTTCGTTTTTCGATATTGGGAAACTTTTACTTTGAAATTGTTTTTTTTTCCTGGTTGGAGCTATTTTTAGATGTGAACCACGACAATTTCGTTTATTGACAAAAAACTTATTTCCAAAATGCAGCAACATTTATTTAATTTTCAATTATTCTAACAAAGAATGGGCATTCTATTTGGAAAATTTTGTCCCACTCCTACAAAAGCTATAAAATGTGAGCATTGAAACGAACAAAGATAATGCATAATTTCTATACGTTGGTTCTATACATTAGGGGAGACCAATAGATTTTATTATTTCCCCCATTTTTATCGAATTCATTCAAAATCCTTTATTAAACTTCCATTAAGCTATCTCCTCACTGTCGCTAGACCACATTTTCTTTTAAATTTACAAGAAAATTGGATGGTGACAGGAAATCAAGTCCCTGTCGCTTTACACTAATATATGATAGGATTAAATGACAAGTGTTGTTTAATTTATTTTTTATGAAACGCAAACCTATCTACAATTGTAAAACAGACTCGTAATATTAGGCTAGTCACTTGTCACTAATAATCTACTCGTGTAATTTTATGAAACACAAACTTGTCAAATACTCCAGTCAAATTTAGACTACACTTGTAAACAGGACTTGTCAGTTATATGAAACAGGCCCCAGTTTTACAGGTCTCAAACATGATCCAAACAAAAAACGAATTATGCCGGAACAGCAAACAATTACTCAGAACACCAAACAACACGTTGACAAAACCGAAAATAACAATATTCACATGTCACATTGACAAAAACCAAAAAATAACCTAACAATTCAGTTCGAAATCTTCTCTTTTTGGAAAAATTTGAATTCTAAAGGGCAGAAATATTTGTTTAAACTGTTAAATAGCTAAAGATTAAAAGTGTTGGTGAAACGCCAAAATATTTAACTGTAGTTTAAAAGTTATTCATGGAATTTTTATTCATTTATACAGTGCATTTCTTTAATGCCCCCCCCTTTTATTTTTTGAACGGATCAACTTAGAAAATTGAAATTTGGGATAATGAAACTAATGCATGATTACTATATTTTGGAGTAAAATTGACAGACGAAAATTTCAATATGGCGACTGGGCGCCATCTTGGAAAATAAATTTAAATGGAAAGGGGGGTCTTGTGATACATCATTTTAAAGCTCCTGACAAATACTCTACAACCCTGGAATATAAAGTCAATATCTGCACCTGCTACAAAATGGCGGACATTTAATAATTACCTGAATAAATCGACGTTTAACGTCATAATTTGAGGAAATAAGCTGAGTTCTGTTCAAAAAAAGCTCGAAATGGTTGCCTTGAACTTCTTGATACAAGAACAGCCTATCCGAACATTTTCGAACATAGTAACGTCGATATTTTTACAAATATCTGTAATTATTTCTCGTATATCCAATATTGAAGCAGGTTTAGTTTCGTACACATTTTGCTTCAAATAGCCCCATAAAAAAAGTCTAAAGGTGTCAAATCTGGTCAAATTCTGGTCAAATCCATTCCGTAGGACCTCGACGACCAATCCAACGATCCAACGACCAGGGGAAATAGCATCCAAATAGTTCATTACTTGTCTGGAGTAATGTGGTGGTGCTCCATCTTCCAATGGACGAGAATTGGCCATTTTAGAGTTAGTTGACGTGCTACCTAACTGCAATGAGAACTAAACAACCGAAAACTAAATGAAAATACTTTGAACACTAGGAAAATCGAAAACTAAAGAGAATATTTTGAACACTAGGAAAACGAAAAACTAAATGAGCATATTTTGACTAAACAATTAATGTTCGTTGTCGTACTTAAATTTTTTGGAATTTTTTTAACCAAAAATAACCTGTCAAACCTTATCGGTTTGCTGGGATTGCTGTTTGCCATAGAAAAACAAATATTTCTAGAAAAATTGATATTATTTTGTTTATATTCAGGTAATTATTAAATGTTCCGCCATTTTGTAGCAGGTGCAGATATTGACTTTATATTTCAGGGTTGTAGAGTATTTGTCAGGAGCTTCAAAATGATGTATCACAAGACACCCCTTTCCATTTAAATTTATTTCCCAAGATGGCGCCCAGTCGCCATCTTGAAATTTTCATCTGTCAATTTTACTCCAAAATATAGTAATCATGCATTAGTTTCATTATCCCAAATTTCAATTTTCTAAGTTGATCCGTTCAAAAAATAAAAGGGGGGGGGACATTAAAGAAATGCACTGTATATTTATTTGTCGTTGGTGAAACCGAACCTTAAAGGTGTAGATGTCTTCTGTTAAATAGCTTATATTATGAGAATAGCTTAATAAGGGGGTAGCGGCATTAGGTCTGACTTTAGAGAAGAGGGTGACTGAGGTAAGGGGAACGCAGAAGTCAAACTGGGTAGGCAACAAATAGTGACAAAAGTGTCAAATTAGAACTGTCGGCTAACCTTTTTAATGAATTTGAATTCAAAAATGGTTCCTAGTTTATCTTTTAAGGATTAATAATTGTTTTTATACAGAGTTGGACAAAAGTCCGGAATAAAATAATTATCTTTTGAACCAGTAATTTAAACAAAAAATTTGAAAACATTGAACAAACATTGAAAAGCCCGTGAAAAATGGAATCTAAAACATACTTTTTGTTTATTTTTTCTCATGTTGTTATTTGGAAATACAAAACATGTACAAAAATGGAATATCTTTTTTCCTTTTTGAAGTTCACTGATCAACAATGGCTTAAAATAGTTTTTTCTTAAAACATAATTTTCAGCGAATGTTGATGCTAAGTTGCCTTATCAGTTTTAAACGGTAAATCAAATAAAATTTGGTGTACTGCCTGCCCAGACTCGCCTGTTTTTAATAAAAATTCATTCAGAATTAAATATAGGCTACCGATATTAGGTTTTACCATCGCCTTGGAGCCTGTTAAGTAGAGGGTGGAGGACATTCCCAACATCTGCTACCTTAATTCATACGTCGATAGCACTATAAAGGTATTTGTAACATATTTGGTATTCCCAAGCGGTCACCCATCCAAGTACTAACCGCGCCCAATAATACATAGCTGCAGTGATCGGACGAGAACTGGTGTATTCATTGTGGTATAGCCACTAATTAATGTGGATATCATTGTAGATAAAATAATAATTGTAACAAAATAAATGATAAAAAATTAAAAAAAAGGTTCCACCAGCCATTTGTGCCGTTATGGGCTGTAAATTGCCTAGTAAAAGGCATAGTGCCATTTCAACGGTATGAG